CCCAAAGAATGCCACAAAACACGGTCCTGAGCCAACCTGTGTAACTGGAAAGGATAAAATTACTCATTTAGCAAACTTGAGGGCACTGTTAGAAAGGTTAAAACAAAATGGATTAAGAATAAATTTCAGTAAATGTCAACTCTTTAAGGATTGTGTAACGTATTTAGGTTATAAAATCGATATGGACGGCTTGCACACGGATTCTAACAAAATTAAAGCCAATTAAAAAATTTTATGGGCCTTGTTAATTTTTACTCAAACTTTTGTTTAAATATAAGTGATATAATGAAACCGTTAAACAACTTATTACAAAAAAAAATGTAATAAATTTCGTATCTCTCCTACCCGAGGTACAAATTGGAGCATTCCTTATTGCCTCGGGCTGGAGTTTGCGTGTATGTCAGAGAGGACATCTGTTCTCGACGCCTCGGCAGTCTTGAAGGTTCGGACCTGTCCATCCTTTGGCTACGCGTAGACAGCGACGACCATCCGCGCGTCTACGGGTGCCTCTATTGGTCCCATAGCGGTAATATCGAAAAAGACCGACTCATCGACCACGTCCAAATGGCTACAGATTCCTTGCTACAACAGGTCCCATCCGCAGAGATCGTCATCCTTGGCGATTTTAACGCCCACCATGCCGAATGGCTCGGTTCACATCTAACCGATCATGCGGGGAGATCTGTTTATGACTTTGCCTTGGCATATGGTCTGACACAACTGGTTACTTCGCCTACGCGGATTCCAGATGTGGAGGATCATACACCTTCCCTGTTGGACCTTCTGGTGACTTCCCATCCGGACGGATATCAGGTTTCCGTCGATGCCCCTCTCGGCTCTTCGGACCATTGTCTGATCCGGAGTGTGGTGCCACTCACGCTCCCTTCGCGGTTGCGTTCTGCAGGTTGCCGCCGTGTTTGGCATTACAGGTCGGCGGATTGGGACGGAATGCGGTCTTTCTTTGCATCCTACCCATGGGGGCGGGTTTGCTTCTCGCCCGATGATCCCAGCGCTGTTGCTGACTCTGTCACTGATGTGGTGCTACAGGGAATGGAACTATTTATTCCATTATCTATGGTACCCATCGGAGGCAGATCTCAGCCTTGGTTTGGTCGCTCCTGTAAGACTGCATTACGCAGTAAGCAGGAGTGATATCAAGCCTAAGCTGCGACTTCGGCGACTCGGGATGTAAACACCAGCACACTTAAAAAGAAGTATAACTTCGCCTCCAGGTCCTTCAAAAGAGTTATTGCCAAGGCAAAGTCAGAGCACATAGCCAGAATTGGCGAGAAACTAGTTCGCCTTCCTTCGGAAAGTGTTCCGTGCATTCTGGTCTCTCGCCAAGGCTGTCCAAGGGAATTTCTGTAAGCCATCACTACCATCTCTGCACAGGGAGGATGACTCACTAGCCCATGACGCAAAAGACAAAGCCGACCTTTTAGGCTCCATTTTTGCGTCCAACTCGACTCTTGATGACGGGGGGAAAACACCGCCGACCATCCCGCGGTGTGAGTGCTCCATGCCGGATGTGCTGTTCTCACAGCGCTCGGTTCGCAAAGCACTGCTCTCCCTGGACATCCAGAAGTCGAGTGGGCCTGACGGAATCCCCCCATTTGTGCTGAGGACGTGTGCTCCGGAGTTGGCACCGGTCCTAACGCGTCTTTTCCGGTACTCCTACTCCCAAAGCGTAGTCCCGAATTCATGGAAGACAGTTTTGTCCACCCGATCCCTAAAAAAGACGACCGCTCAGATCCATCCAACTATAGGCCTATCGCGATCACATCCTTGTTCTCCAAAATAATGGAATCCATTATTAACTGCCAGCTCATCCGGTACCTTGAGGATCACCAGCTGATTAGTGACCGCCAATACGGTTTTCGTCGGGGTCGATCAGCTGGTGATCTCCTGGTCTACCTGACCCATAGATGGGCGGAGGCAGTAGAGTCCAAGGGGGAGGCGTTGGCCGTTAGTCTGGACATTGCGAAGGCCTTCGATCGGGTTTGGCACAAAGCGCTTCTTTTGAAGCTCCCTTCCTATGGGCTTCCCGAGAAATTGTGTAATTGGATCACCAGCTTCCTTGCAGATCGGAGCATCAAGGTCGTTGTAGACGGTGCATGCTCTGACTACAAGCCTATTAACGCTGGTGTTCCACAAGGCTGTGTGCTATCACCAACGCTGTTTCTTCTGCATATCAATGATATGTTGCTAACTGGTAACATTCATTGCTATGCGGATGACAGCACTGGTGATGCTCTATACACCGGCCGTGCCAATATTTCTCGGGAAAACGTCGCTGCGTACCGGAACAAACTTGTGTCTGAAGACGAGTCTTTGCTGAGCAAAGTCTCGGATTGGGGGCGACTAAATCTAGTCCAGTAATCCTCAGAAGACACAAGTTTGCGCGTTTACCGCTAAAAAGAACCCCTTTGTCGTATCTCCTCAGTTTCAAGGCACTCCCCTTCTTGCCTCAGCCAGTATCGGTATCCTCGGAGTCGACATATCGAGTGACGTGCAGTTTCGTGGTCACTTGGAAGGGAAGGCCAAATTGGCCTCTAAAAAGCTTGGCGTGCTCAGTAGAGCGGGACAGTATTTCATGCCGGCACACCGCCTGCAACTTTACAAGGGGCAAGTTCGGCCTCACATGGAATACTGTTCCCATCTCTGGGCAGGGGCTCCCCAGTGCCAGCTCCTTCCACTTGACCGCATCCAACGCAGAGCTGCTCGAATCGTCGACGACCGAGCCCTTTCCGATCGGCTCGATTCATTGGCACTGCGAAGGTATGTTGCATCCCTTTGCATTTTCTTTCGCATCTCCCATGGGGAGTGCTCTGAGGAATTGTTCGGATTAATCCCAGCCGCCAAATTTCACGAACGCACATCGCGGCAGAACTCCCGATACCATCCACACCATCTGGATGATTGGCGGTCCACCACTGTGCGATTTAGAAGATGTTTTCTTCCTCGCACGACCTCCTTGTGGAATCGATTACCATCAGCGATTTTTCCGGACCGATATGACTTAGGGACCTTCAAGAAAAGAGCGTCCTCCTTTTTAAAAGGCCGGCAACGCATCTGCGATTCCCCTGGTATTGCAGTTGTTCATGGGCGGCGGTAGTCACTTACCATCAGGTGAGCCGCATGCTCGTTTGCCACCTCTCCTATAAAATAAAAAAAAATGTTAAATGGCAATGGAATGATGAGTGTGAGATTGCTTTTTGTCGAATGAAAAAAGTATTGAGCAGCTGGTGCGCTGCTATTGGCACACTACGATCCTACTCTGCCGTTGGTGTTATCAGTGGACTGCAGCGCATACGGACTGGGCGTGATGTGTCCTAGACATATCATCTTAGTGCCGGTGGTAAGCGGGTTTGTTGTAGTAATACAACATGTCCGTGGACATCGTTTGTGGGCGGCGTCTTAGAGCATACAGTTATTATATGTCGGCTATCTTTCGTACTAGGGTGAGTGTGTTGGTTAGCATGTTTAAGTGCAGCAAGCATATTTAACTCCACGTCTTAGTGCAATAGCGCTATGATTCGGCTACTGATGTCTTAGTAGCGTGCTACTATGATATGTTAGTTTAGTTAACAACAGTGCTACATTTGTTATCAAAGTTGATAGGGATTAGGGTGAGTTATGAAGGGGTGCTATCCATATGATATTTGCATTGATGCTTACTGCTACTTGCGGTATTGCATCTTGTGATAGATCTACGGGTGTGTTTTGCCTGATTCGACGCATCTTGTATGCTGATGGGTTGGTGATGGTCTGCTGGGATTGTATGGGGGACATTGGAATGGTGTAATTTCGACGATAGTCCTATTGATGCTTGTTGAGTTTTGCGGCATTTCATTTCTGCAATGATTGTTTGGCGGGTCGCTATTCTTAATGGCGCTCTTTGCTTCTTGATTTGACACACAACCTGAGTAGCTTTGCCCAAGTCGGGTCCCTTCATTACTTGGCTGCAGACTGTCTAATCTCTATGGTGTTGTATATAACAGTGTAATACTTTGTCGCTTTAAATTTCCCACCTTTAAATGATTAAAGGCAACTTGTTGGTGGGTGAGACAAATATGATCGAAAAATGTATACACTCAACGTCAGTGACGCAAACCCTTTCTGTGGAGAATTATAACTATTATCCTATAAGTACTTTTTGGCTATATCTGCCGTTGTATTGGTTGCTGAAGCTGATATCAGGTTTTTTACATAAATATTGTGAGCCTTTTCCAAACGGTATGGGATTAATTATTTAGGAATTGACTGTTGTGGACCTAATACAAGTGGAATAGGTGCGATTTAATGTTCGTAATCTTTTTGAGCCCTGTCTTCGTGAATGGGGTTCTTTAGCTTAAAATAATTTTAAGGCACTGCCAACAGCTTTCGACTGCTGTCATTCTTCTAAGAGACACTTAAAAGAACTACTAAAGTTACTAAACAAACACAACGTAAATAAGGATCGTAACTAAGACTATCAAGCCATAAATTTATTAAACGACCTATAAACACACCTTTCTCCTCTGGAGAAAGATCAATATATGTTAATTATACTGGACGAGTAAATTTTATATATTTATAGAAAGAGGGGGGGGGGGGAGGGGAGTGTTACAACCTGGTTGACTGAGCTTAGATGGTTCTGGTTTAAGTTAGATATAGGAAAATATAGGGGCTTTAAATTGCATGATATCGTTAACAAATATTTTATCAGAAAGTTGCACAGATTTAAAAAATCATAAAATGTTAAGTTAGAGTGACATCAATAACAGCAGTAAATATGGAATATTTTGCTTTCGTAACTTTTATCATAACGTGATCAATACATCCCTTGCTGTTAATTCAAAAGTGGTTGTATTACTTAAAAATCCTCACTGATCCATATTTAATAGTATGATTGAGTAACTAAATACCACTCACAAAATTAATACACTAATGCAATACGGTAAGCTGACGCTTCAGTTCTAATTTTAAAAATCAAGAGCTAGACGTCAGTTTGTAGTACAATGTTCTTGCCGAAACAAATTCAGGATTATGTAAAAAAATTGAGAGGACCCCTTAATCAATTATCGTCCTTCTCAATATCTGGTCTAAATGAAATACTCTTAGATAATTATATTGATGCTGATCTTCAAGAGTTCCTATGTCCTTTAAATCTCGGGCATTACGTATTATTTTCTCCGAAATACAGCATTCGTTATAACTTTATAACTAGTAATAGCTGTACTGCTAATTGTTTTTCTCTTTTCTATACATTTAGTTTTATGATGTTATACACATCACATGAGGTTTTGGATCCAAAGCTAAAATATCTTAACTCTATTATGTTGTCGGCTACGATTTTTAATTTCCTTGTGTACTGTATAGGGTGTGGTCAAAATTCTATTTTGAACATCATTCAGTCCAACACACATGTGAATTTGATTTTAACTGTACAAAAAATACACAAATCTTTCAAACATACAAATATCTGCAAGAGCTTTGTAATCGGTAACTGGATATTTGTAATCACTCTTCTTACATTCTATATTGGGTTAGCTGCTATAGAAACCTTCGTAAGAAAATTGGGCTCAAATTGTATCAGCTATGTGCCTGTATTAATCACTGACTTCAACATTATTTACAAAATTCGAATGGTTAAATTATTGAGGTATTATACAGTTTCATGGACATCTGAACTGAAACGTATTAATCAATTGGAAATCAATTCTACACATGAGTCAGTTAATTTGGTGGGATGGAATACAACGGTAAATTCATTCCTTAAAATATTTGATGCAACTTATATCTACAAAAACCTATGTGGAATTCCGGTAAGCCACTAATTCCATTATATGAAAACATCCTTTAAATTATGTCAAATAATAATTAAATATGAAAACAATTTCAGTTTTAGTTTTGATCAATAATAAATGTACAACATTTTAATTTTTTCAGATTATGCATTATCTTTTAGTTACCATTACGAGTATGCACTCAATTTTAAATATTCAAGTGATAATTGTGGTTAGTATAAACTTCGAAATTTTTATTCTACATAATATCTTTAATATACATCAATAACAACAGCTAATAAAGGAATACAGGATATATGAGTGAAAGTTATAATACTATGATCTCTTTTTTTATAGGGTGACAAACGAGCACACAGTCCACCCGATGGTAAGTGGTTGCTGCGGCCCATAGACATCTACATCTACCCTCGTTTGCGAATCAAAATGCAGATGCGTTGTCACCCGTGAGGACTATGATGGAATGCCTCTTTTCCAGTAAAAAGGGTCTCCGGTTCTCTACACTCTCCATACGAAACACAACAGTGTTAAGCTGCTATTTTACGCTGGTATTCTGTGAGAGCGTGGTCCTACCCCGGTCGAGCCGACCCATTCGTGCCACAACTATACTATGTACTACGAGGGCGCCACTGAAAATTTCGGGAATCAAGAAAGTGCACAACATTGCTATTTAAAAATGTATTTATTGCTTTTCGAAGTATTCTCCGCGAAATTTGACACATTTTTCCATACGATGGAACCAATCATTGAAGCAACCATTCCATTCGGAGGTTGGGGTCTCCAAAATGGCCGTTTTGTAGGCGTCCACAGCTTCTTCAGGTAATGAAAATCTCTGCCCACGCAATTTATTCTTTATTTTAGGGAAAGTATAGAAATCATTAGGGCTTAGAACGGGGCTGCACGGCGGATGGTCTAATAATTCTATGTTTTCTTGCTCTAAAAACTCTTTTGTTCTGTGTGCGGTGTGAGAAGAAGGTGTGTCGTGATGGATAATGATGCGGCGGTTGCAGTTCTCTTTACGGAGTTCAGAAACGACCTGTGGCAAACAAATGCTAGCATACCATTCTGCATTAACCGTTTTTTGTCCCTCAAGAGGAATAGTCGTAACATGGCCGGTTTTGGAGACAAACGTGGCCACCATTTTTTTTGCAACACTCCATGAACGAACAATTTTTGTTGGCTTTAACTCATTTTCGAACACCCAAACTCGTGACTCTTTCGGGTTCGTATGCGTATATACAGGATTCGTCACCTGATACGATGTTGTATACCACATTTGAGGATCCTGCGTGGAATCTTTCGAGAGTTCTGACGCACCAAGTAACGCGAGCCGCTTTTTGTTCTTCACAGAGCGAATGCGGTATCCATCGGGAAAACAACTTTTTTACACCTAATTGTTCATTCAAGATTATTTGTATTTGACTCAAGCCAATGTCTAAAGTTGCTTGAATTTTGCGATATGTCACATGTCGATCTTCCTCAATTAGCTTACGCACAGCATCAATGTTTCCTTGGGTGACCGCAGTTTTTGGACGACCTTGACGGGGATCATCACTGAGCTTGACACGTCCACGTTGAAATTCAGCAAACCAGCGATAAATTGTGGTTTTGGGTGGGGCTTCATCACCAAATGCAGAAATCATCCGGTTAACACATTGTTTTTGTGTTAAACCAAAGTGATAATAAATCATCGCTCTTGAATTGTCTCGAGTCAATTCCATTTTCTCAACGACTAAACAAGTTTGACAAAACCTTGTGACAAGACCGAGAATCTTTTTTTAAATAAGTAAATGGTATTCGATTTTTAAAACCAAGGAGTTTTCAATTAAAAAGACCTTAATATGACAGGAACAGCCGATACTTTTAGTGCAGCCTATGTACTAATACAGCTGCAGCATGGCTCTACCACGTAAAAATAGTTTTATCAAAATAACTATAGTGTACTTTAAAGTTTAAGAGCGCGTACAAAACCCAAGTATCAACGAAACGATTGTTATTTGTGACTGACTTCCAATCAGAATTCAGTGATAGGGAAAATAGGGTGAAGCAAGTGAATGCATAAAACATGCGAATCTTAGGAGACGGATAATTATGTCTTTCACATATTAAAAATTATGCGTGGGCCAAAACTATTTTAATCGAATAGTCCATAAATTATGGCGCATATATAAACTGGAATTTTATATTTATCATGGTCTCACAACGCACAAGATGCTGTCGTTCACACCAAATTCGACTTTCTGCTATTTTTCTTACTTTCAAAATAATTTCAGTATTCAGGAAGATTGAATTTTACCGTTATCACCATATTGTTTTGGTTTATGAAAAATATGTTGCTGCTCAGTTTATTATGCTACGAGAGTGAAATGTTGTTTATGACATTCAAAAATACCAAAGTTGTTTTATTTAGCACCATTCTACCAAAAAATTGTTCAGGTAAGTGCTTTACACAATATTGATTCAAATTAGTATTTCTAAATCTAGGAGTATAAATACTATACATAATAATATAATATTATATACTTGTCATTTTGATATAACTTGTGATTTCTTTGAAAAAAATTAGTAGTATTATTGCCGTGTGATGGCGGAATTAGAAAATCCATCACTCCATTTCGTTCAGTTGGTAACCTAAGAGGCTGAAATGATCTTATGGCCTTCGACACTTCGTAGTATTTACACTATTTCGTATATTGCTCACTTTTGCGGTTGGCAACTAAAACAACCTAGACGGCTCTTAGGCAGAAACGAATACTACGACATAATGATTTATGATGATGAATATAAAATTAAACGCAATAAAAGCCGTAAAATTTGTTTTATAATTTTGCTATATAGTTAAATTAAAGAACTTTTAACAATGTCAAATATTTTAAGCTTGATGTTTGTGGAGAGATATTATTTTTTTAATCTCCTATTCTATTTGTAGCAGAAAAGCGGATAGCATACAAACGTTTGCGACGAGCGTGTAATTTGGCTTGCAAAATAATGAAAACTGGGAGTTTCGTTGAAGCAGATGCCACACTACCTTTAAGTTTGTTGTCTCTTCTGGCCAACTACGTAGTTGTACTATTACAATTTGCATTACTGTAGATTTTACTACCTTATTTTTTATTGTTTAGTTTCCTAATTATTGTATTAAGTATTGTTTTTATTATTTAAATGTATATCTTCATTAAATAAATAGTTGAAAATTTAACATTGTACTCAAATGAGTATTATATAGTAGGTAGTATTATATAAAGTGATTGTACATAAATAAGTCATTAAATCATTATCCATAAAATACCTTCATTTAAAATAGTCAAAACTATATTCTTCATAAATCATTTATTACATAATATTATCAAAAGTTCACAACCGAACATAGAATACTTTGGTCCATGTTATTTTTTATATAACGTTTGCTTAATAAAGTTTTTGAGCTTGAACAATAAGGGTTTGTACAATATTAAGGAAGTTATGGACCATAATAACCAATGGGAATGAAGTCATTACTACTAAGCTATATCCATAGCTGGGCACCGTTAAACAAATAATAACTTCGTTAATCGCTAATCTGTTACTAAAAAAGTTAACTTTGTTAAACGTTAAAGCGTTACATTTCGGAAGATTTAACGGAAGTTAACGTTAATCGTTAATCCGTTAACACGTGATTAAAATTGCATGTCTTTATATTGTTGCGCTATTGATCTACTTATAAAAACTGTTGGTGTAGGTTCTGAAAGTTAACAGGTTAGGAACAAAAAAAAGACTTGTATAATTGGAGTATGTAATTTAATCATCTGGCATAATGTGGATATTGCCCTTCATGAACATTAATATATGTTGAAGTTCTCGTCTGAGAGCGAGATTCGCTTTGGCGTCACTGTTCTCCGAGTAATGCCGCATCGTAGAACGAGTCTTTTGATTTCATGTCCTAACCACATTTTGACGAAATCTTGAGCTTTACTATTTAAAGATTTAGAAGATAGGCTTTTCTTTAGACTGAGTGACAGAATTGAAAAAGTCTTCTTCCTCATCATCGTCATTGTTAATCGTGTTGCTGCCACTTAAACTATCTCTGTCCTTTGAACTTTCGAAAGCTTCTTGTCGTTAAGCCTCTTCTACCTTTTCTCCATGTATTCTTTTACTGCATTCACTCGACTGCTGTTAATCAACCGGAATTTCAAGTGTAAGCCGCGGAAAGTTGGCGCTGCACTTTGTCCAGTAGTGGTCCAAACCTTTTCTCTATGTCATTTATTAAGGCCATTATACTTTATATTTTATAATTTAAAGACTATTGCTGAAATTTTCGGTACCAGTTTGAGAGATATGCTTGAGCTTCTTCTTAAATACGATCGAGAGCATTGGCGTCAGGTGCCATAAGCTGTAGTAAATAAGTAGATATTAATAATATAAATGACAAAATATGGAAAAATTTGATGTTAATTAAAAATATGTATAAGTATATAAATTTACCTTTGCACACTCCTTCAATATACTCACGTCTTGGTTATTGAAAGTCGGAAATTTCGATTAGTCTGTAATGTATGCAATGTAGGTAAATTGAATACAAAGTCACACACGCCTATATATTGTACATCAGGTTAGTCAGTAGTCCAGTTTGCCAATAAAAGGGTTATACGCGACATCTATATTTTTTATTGTACAAGTCACAACCCTGTGAAGAGAAGACGTTTTTGTTTTCAATATTCTATTGGTAAAGAAATATCATAACCATCTCCTTGTATTTGGAAAGACGAGTCATCTGCCAAATTCAGCGTGAATGCTATCTGTTGCTACCGTACTACGTGATTACTGATTCCAGAGAGTACATGCTTTGGCTATGGCACTTCTGTAGTGAGCCTTGAAAATAGTTATTTGTAGAACAGCATCTGCATTTTTGCTTGCGGCCAAATAGAGTGTATGCGCAGCACATCTTATGTGAACTGGCAAAGTATTGAAGTTTTCTAGTAGTAGGTACTGAATTAACGAATAACGGACTTGAGAAAATTAAACAGAAGTTAACGAGTCCGTTAACATTTTTTTAAAGTTAACGTAAAAATTAATCCGTTACCAGTAATGTTAACTTCGTTAATTAGCGATTAACTGATTAACGAGTTAGTGCCCACCTATGGCTATTTCTAGTATGATTTGTACAGGTAATTATGTAGTATAAGCTGTATTTTTTACTTGGTAGAGTCATGCTACAGCTATATTACTGGTATAGTTGTAGCACGAATGAGTCGGCTCGACTGAAAAAGGTTCACGCTCTAACAGAATACCAACGTAAAATAGTAGCTTAACACACAGAATACCGGAGTGAAATATCAGCTTAATGATGCTGTGTTTTCTATGGTGAGTGTAGAATACCGGATACCCTTTTTACTTTTAACGAGGTATTCCATCTTAGTCCTCACGGGTGACAACGCATCTGCATTTCGTTTCGTAAACGAGGATAGATGTAGATGTCTATAGGCCACAGCAACCACTTACCATCAGGTGGACTGTGTGCTCGTTTGTTACCCTTATCCTATATAAGAAAAAACTTAAAGCTTTATTGTAAACATTCTTTTTTTTTAAGTTTCCACTGGGTTTCTTCTGATTCTTCCCGATCAGAGGTATTTTCCGAACCAGTGGTAACTTAAACATGAGAATGACTCGGGTTCCATCTTCGCCGTTACCAATAAATTGTTAATTGCAATTTCAAGTGTTAATTTAGCAAGTGCTTGGCCGTGAAGGAAAACGTTGTGAGAAAACCTGCATTCGAAGACATAAGAAGTTCGCCAACAAGTATTGGGGCAGCGCGGCGGACTTTTCCTTGTCCTGCAATCCTTTTCAAAAATGAGAGAAGGCCTATGCCCAGCAGTGGGACGTATATAGGCTGTAACTTTTACGAAGTTTTAATAAATCATATATCATACTCATCAATATGTCTTATTTATAATTATATTGAATGAAAAAATAACTGGCCTACTGGAAGAAATTTCATTATGAGATAAGTAGCACATTTGTACAAACTCTTCATCATGTTGTGTCCTTTCCATTGTTTGTGTGTAAATAAATTGTTAAATAAATAAATAAATGAAACGATTGTAAATAATACATATATATTGAATGAAAAAACCTATTTCTTACTTGGCGTGGTTAACAGGAGTAAAATTAAGGATTTAAAAACAAGCTATGTACTCGTTTGTGTGTTTCCACTGCCAGTCTTTGTCCGTTAAATGGTTACACTTGACCGTTGTGCGAGAAATGACTCGGAACGACTCACACAATGATTAAATATGTTATGTTTAAGTACTGTTCCTATGTTGCCGTGGGAACTACAAAAAACTTACAACGTTGAAATTAAAAAAAAAGTTCAAATCGAATGGTATAAAGTCCGTAAAAGTAATTTTATTCAATCGGTATGGCTTTTTCAGAGATTTTTTTATAGTTCACCTACAGTCTATATGCTGATAATTGTTTCACCCTAGATATATCTGTAAACTACTTAAAACAAAGAAGTCTACGGGTGCTTTGTCACCATTGAAGATAAAGATGGAAGGCCTGACAGCCTGTAGCTATATAGAGTTTTGATACCGTTTAGAATGGAAAACAGAAGAGAGAAGTTTGAGCACCGATTCTTAGCGAAAGAAATTGATACGAGGATGGTATCTATCCACACAGTCACTTAGGTGGTAAAAGAGATCTATTATAGACAAAGGGCTCTACACCGAGAACGTCTTAAATACAAAAACTATGTCTAACAAAAAGTGGCATTTAGTTTTTTTACTCTTTCGAATTTACCTAGTCGTCCCATTAAATTTAGTTTTTTATTGACTTTTTATTTTTTATATTGAAACATTATATTGTTATTAATTAAAACGTTACGGTGCGTACACATTATATAACATCATTATGGCTGAATGTTATAAAACATGTTATATGACTCGAACGGTAGAACGACAAACGACAATGTCATACGACAATGTCATATAACATTGTTATATTGCATTGTTATTCTAATGTGTACAGTATTTTTATATGTTGCAATGTTGAGACACAAAGTTACGTAATGTGGACGTGTTATAAAACAAAAGTTACACAACATGTTACTTAATCTGTACGCACCCTTATAAATCTGAATTTTAACCAACTCATTATCATCATCATAATTACAGATTACCATAAAAATATTGTAAATACAGATTCTGATTCAGAGATGGGCAGCAGCAACTTCATGATAACGGTTTAAAATAATATAATACTGCGGTTGCCAAGCCGCCTTCCAAACGTAGTGAATATGGCAAATATTTACAATATACTTTAATTGTAGATTTTTGTGTGTGATGAGTTTATTTATTAACTAACTCTTCCACGCGACTTCGTCCTAGTGGAATTGAATTTCATGGGCTATAATATTTTTTGCAGGGAACCCTAATTCTATTTTTTTTTTAAAATGTAGTGTAGGTCACTCCTTATAACATCAGCTATTTGCCAATGAAAGTCTCGTCAAAACCAGTTGAGCCATTTCGGAGATTAACCGGAACAAACAGTCAGACTGTCTATTTGTTCCGGCTAATACTACAGCCGACAGGCAGTTAGACAGACATTTTTTTAATTTTTTTTTTGTTGTACCGTATATACTTTCATATTTATTTAGTAAAAATTGTTATTTTGACGTTACAAACAGATACTTAAATTTTATTTATTTTTATACATGTTAATTTGATAGTTAATTTTTAAGTGTTATTTTATTGTTAATTAAAAATATGTGATGAATGGCTATAAAATTAAATATTATTTAATATAAAATAAAATTTGTTATAAATGAACAAAGTTATGTACAACCGGATATACGACATGCATTTCTTTGCATTTAAAATATCAGTGACAGCGGTGAATGTAAAAAAGGTTCGAAGGCTGCGCCTACGCCTTCGGGACGGCAGATCGCATACATTATGTTTGTGTGGAGAGCAGTTTGCCGACAATAATAATTATTATTTCGTGTCCGCGCGGTACCATGGCACACATGATTAATTCTTTACTCTGTGACCATGGCTTATATGTCAAACCTCGGTACACTCCAAACATCGTGTCCACGATTAAAACGTCGTAGAGGTAAC